GAAAAAAAAAAAAAAAAAAAAAAACCACCAGAGGAACCTTGGCTGTTAAGAAGCAATAAAAAAAAAGAGTTGAAGGCAGGACTGGAACCCTCCACACACCGACAGGAACTGAAGGCGGACACGGAACCACGTGTTCAGCCGAGCAGGAAGACCTCAGCTCCGGATCCACGCCCACCAGAGTCCCCGCTGGTTGTCCAATTTTATCAAGCTGCTCTTTTCCCGGCTGCACCATCCCCCCCTTTTGTCTGGGGAAATTTCACACTCACTCATGTTATTTGCATAACACCAAAGAACCAGCAGCACCCCCCATACAACAGTGGGCACAGCCTGATAAAAGGAGTCTATTTTGGTTCAGTTTTTATTGTTTTGGCCCACTGATTCTGTGCAAGACCGTAATAAGAATATTACTTCCAATAATAAGGAATATCAGAACAACAAACCAGCATACTGCGTTTTTTTTTTCTTGGATTTTAGGGAATTTAATCAAAACTTGCTGATTTGGGTCAGTTATAAATAAAACTGATTGTGCACAAGATCTGAATAGACATAAATTCCAGGCCCAAATTTAAATTTTTTAATGCTTTAAAGTAAAAATACTGTTATTGTCTGGCATTTTTGTCAGTGTATTCAAGACACAACTAGATATGAAAATAAATATAACAGGGCCCTGCAACTTTCCCCTCATTTTGTCACTTTATAACCACCAGCTTCATGTGGTTTTATGTACAAAGTACACCAGGATTTAAGGGAAAATTATTCATGTTTTTCAGTTTATGTAAAATTTGAAACATTTTATACAATCTCCTGTATAATTTTTTTTATAAATCAAGCGCTGATTGATTAGGTGTGCAGTGATGAACAGTTTTCAAGTCTTATATGAAAAATATACAAGTATAAAAGATTATCCTATTGCAGAAAAGCCTGACTGCATTAGGAAACAATACAATTTTCAAGCGATTTTTCTACTTACTCTTTACGTTCTACTTCACTGGTCTACATTAACCTTTGCATCTTTTGGACTAACGGTCAGATTTTACAGTAAATACACTTCAAATTAACAGCAACAAAGGTTTTTTTTTTTATCTCCATCTGGAAATTGACTATAATAGTCAACAGTGGAACATCGATCAATGTTTTGATCGATGTTCGATCAATGTTTTCCTCAGAAGCATGCATGTAAAAGCATGTAAAAAAAATAAAATAAAACCAAAAACCAAACGTACTGATCAATAAAGTTAGATTTCCCTTTAGCTAAAAGAAATGAAAAATCAGGACAAAAGAAAAAAGTTTTCACGGTTTTATTTCTTTTAAAACCAACCTCATACATGAGATCATCAAGCCTGAAGAATCAGGAACATTCCTACTTTTGAGCTGTGTTGATAACCAAAACCTGGAATATATAAATAGAGTAACTTAGTGGAAAAAAAATGTGACATTTATACTGATTGCCCATTTATGACTTAAAAGAAAAATAACAATCATGGTTTAACCAACAGAGGAATATGTTTCATACAGTTATTTTAACAAAAGATAAAAAAAAACATGAGAATCAAGCTTTTAGGACATAGAGGGGAAAATAACAAGAGTGAAGGACCAAACAATTAGAGTGAGGATGAGTGTGTGTGTGTGTGTGTGTGTAGCATGGTGTAAATGCAGGAAAGGAGCGTGAGTCACCAGCAGGACACATTTTTACCGATGTCTTTCTTTTTGCTGTCCCATCACCATGAATGCTGATGAGCTTGTTGCTATGAAAACAGGATAGCTACAGAGGCCAGGAGGCCACAGGAGGAGTGCAGTGATTGTTAGGGATAATATGGGGTGAAAAGTTTACACACACACACACACATATATATATATAAAACAAAACAAGTGCTGAGCTACATGACGCTGTAACGAAGCTATATATGAGCCATAATGAGGCAACAAAAGCAGTTCCAGCCCAGAAAAAACTAAAAAAAAAAACTTTTAGTGCTCAGGACTTTCCCCAAAGCGCTACATGAGCACTGATTGAATTCAAGCAAAATTAGAAAACACTATTTTAGCTACAGCTCGTCATGGTTGGCTGATGGTTGATGTGTTAAGGACATTTCTAGGTTTAGGACAATGAACGATTAATTATTTAAAAAGTATGCTGCTCCATTTTTTTTGTTTTGTTTTTAGATTTGTTTTCCGCCATCACTTGATGAAGATAAAGTTCATATTGATGAATTTTGAAGAAGACATTCCTGTGTGCGTTTCCTCCTAGTTTTCTGTTCTCAGGTTACAGTATTAGGACACACCGATGTTTAAGACGACAAAAACAGACGCCACATCAGATCATCATCTCCACCATCCAATGTGGAAGCTACTAAAATAAATCCCGCATCCAAACAAATGGGCATCAGTGCAGACACACAAAGTATGGAGACTCATTCTTGCTAAATGCGAAACATCAAGTCCATCAGTAACCCTACAAATGCTCAGTCACGGTCAAAATAATGTTCAATATAAACATGGAGGTTTTGGCTTTTAATGATGCATCTAAAGAGTTCTTTCAACGTGATGAAACTACCATACAACTTCAAAACAACTATTTTTGTCAAACCCACACAAGAGCAACATTTTACACCCAGACACACACTGCCGCTAATATCCGGTTGAATGTCCTGCACACTTTCTGGCATCATTCTGACTGCATAAAGGCCACTTGAACCAGGAACGGCTTAGTTACATTGGCTGATTTCTTGACTCAGACTCTGCTTTTGAGCACAGTTCATCAGTTTTGAAGAGGATGAGGCCAGGACTTTTGTTAGGCTGTTCAGGAATCCTTCCAAAAATAGTTTTAAAACAGTCAAGCACGGTGGTGGCAGAATCATGGTGAGAGTATGTTTCACTACCAGTTGTATTGGTGTACCGCACAAATCAGATTGGACATGATTGGATGTCCAAACAGGAAACTGATCCCAGAACTACATCGGAGTTGGTTTTAGAACAGTTAATACTGCAGCCGGTAACTTTTATAAACTAAATGTTGTTTTACGCATTTGTTAAAACTGTTAGCGTAATGAGACATGAGACAGGCAATCAGTGGGGAAAAAAAGCTCCTACTATTGCTGTCTGAAGAAAACCACCACTCCCGGACAAAAATGACCAATCAGAACCAGGAGGAAGGTTTTAGTGTTGTCAATCAACCCTGTGTACACACTTCTAAAATGAACTACTGGCAGAGAAACAGGTTTACCGCTCCAGGAAAACAGTTTATTCGCCATCATCGGTGGTCATGCCAAGTAGCCTGAACATTCATGGCAGGCTTTGCTGATTTGAAGAAGCCGTAGCGTAGCAGGGAGGTTGCGAACAGCGCATACGCATGTATGATTGACAGCGCTAAGATTCTCCTCCTGGCTCTGATTGATTGTTTCTGACAGAGCAGTGCATTTCTGCAAATGGCAGCATGACCGCAGAGGAAAGGAGCGTGATTTTCCCCAGATTATCTGTCTCGTGTTATACCGTCACGGCATAGTGAGAGCTTTAAAAGAACATGCAAGAAACCAACGGTTTATAAAAGTGACATACTGCAGCTTTAACATACGGCTTCTGGAGTTTCCCCCAAGCTGGTCCATCCCAGGACAGAATCCCATTTATAAGTTTTCTAAAACTACAGATAAGAAAATTGCTCAAATATCGAGTGAGAATCTTGCTGGAAGCTGGTTGATAGGCAAGAAAAGCGTGTTGCGTCTTTGCAGCTCGCCAAACATCATCTATGAGGGCATATGCACATATTTGTTCCTGTCTGTTTAACATATGACCCTTATGAATTAGAGAAAATCCACAAGAAATTCTAACTTGTGCTAAATGTTATTCCGTCCTGGTAAAAATACTTAATTAAAAAAAAAAAAAAGATCAACACTTGTGTCACTTGACCATTATGAGAGCTTGCACATTTCTGACTGACAATGTAAATGACAACCAAGCTGTAAATTGACCCCGAGTTAGATCTGGTGATCCTTGGTTTATTTCTGCGATACAAAAACTTTAAAGAAAACCTTTGAGCTCAGCTGATCCACAGAGCCTGCATTAATGCCAGTCAAAGTATCTAAATCTCTCCTAATGCAGAGCTTTTCAGATTAATCAGCATTTAAACTGCGCCACTGCATGCATGCGTCAGAGAGCGAAGCATCAACGCTGTCGCGTTTGGCTCCAAACAAGCGTTTAAACGTCTGTAAAGTCAGTTGCGACAGAAATCAGCAGCTTTGTGAACAAGCTGCCTTTGTCATTCAATGGCCATCTCAAACTATGCAACTAAAAAACGTTTATCAAAAGCTGAGGGAGATTTCCGAGCTCCAACTTTTTAACAAAGGATTACTTGAGCAATTACCTCAGCACACCGACACAAAGCCTCCCCGCGGTCAGACCTCTCGCCGTTCGCTGCGCTGCTGCCAGCGGTCTCAGCTGGTTTCCGCAAAACGCCACCACAGAAACCAGCGGCAAAAGACGCAGCAGCTGCTCGTTGTTTTCCAATAGACAGCTGAGTGAATGAATTGTTGTCCGACAGCGTGAATACATTCAAGCTGGGAAAAGCCTCCGAAAACAGTTCCAGCAGTTAATTAGGGGGCTTTCATTTGAGTTTTTGATTCTGCGCCTCGTCTTATTGGGGACATTCTTCTGCCGGGGTTGAAGTATGACAACATGCAGCCTTAACGTTTAAAACAAGCTGAGTAATAGCACTTCCTGTAGCCATCAACAAGCTTCCAGCATAATGTTGGCTTGATAAGTGACTGCACTTATTGGGGGGAAATGCCAAGAGGAGCTTTTGAGCAAAGTTCAACATTAAAAGGCTTTGATACTGGGGCTTTGGAAATGCCGACCAGGAAGGTTGATGTCAGAGTTTCAAAGTTTTCAGTTTTGATGTGACATTACTATCCAGTTGGAAGACATCTTTATCTAAATTTTAACCGTCTGACTTCAAACTGACATTTTAGGAGGAACAACCCAGGAACCACCAAGACTCATCCCCATCATCACTGCTTCAAAACTCACACCTTGAAACTGGCCCAAATGGACAAGTTGTCACCTCACCTCAGGTGTCCAACCAACAGGACAAAGATCCCAAACAAATCAAAACTGACTTTGGACTGGAAGAAGCAGGATTAGCAGCTAGGCCCCAAAGCAGGTCTGAGCCCAGAAACCACCAAATGTAACGGAGTTCAACCAATTCTGACAAGCAGAGTGGTCAAATATCCAGTCAAAATAAAAATAAAATATAGGCTCTCCACAATCAAACTTTGGGGAGGGTGTATTTTCACATTCGAGACTTTCTGTCCATTTCTAGATAAAAAAAAATAAAAAATAAAATCACAACAAATTCCAACTTCTGGTTTTTAAAAACCAGAACAGGAAGGGAATGACTAAAATAAATCAGTAAAATGCCAAACTGAGTAACATCCATGCTGAGGAGGAGTGTATGCAAGGCTGGGCTCAAAATTATTCATACCCCTGGCAGACTTGGATCTAAACAAGCTTTTAACTTTTACCAACAAGCTTCTTCTGACTCGTAGTACTATGCACATTCTGCAGCGCCGCAGGCAGAATACAGACACAGAAAAGGAGGTAGGTAAAAAAATAAAAAATGAGGGTGATGGCGTGGTGGACATCAAACTGAACAGATTTAAAGCTCACCACAATAATAATCCATGGAAATTACAGATAGAGAAGAGTTTGACTGCTGCAAAGCCCATAAAGATTTTTTTTAAAGATTATTCAGAGGGGAATAAATAATTTTTGACATGACACGTTTAATAAAATAGTCGAAATCGATACTCCCCCTTTTTTCACTGCTTTGTTGTATTTTAAAACTCCTTGATTGAAGGGAAATCATTTTGGATCTAAATCTCTGGGAGGTATGAATAACTTTTTGTTTCAGACTGGAACCACACGAGGAAAAGACCTGAAAACGCATCAGACGATGGAGGAGGAATCCAAACTCCTCTTCCTCCCTCCCTCGAACGCCATCTCAGCGTCTTGTTCTAGTCGTCTCCTTGGTGACACAAACTAATCCCTCATTATGGGATGTAAGCACCGGCACCCCGAAGCCCTGTTTTCTTTTTTTTTTTTGTTCCTTTAAGTTTTCTTTCCTCCCCATATCGGGACACTCCAAACAGAACAGATTACTATAATCTGGGAACACTGGAGCAGACAGATTAGATTAAGCTCATTACACAGGGAAAATGCCACAAGAAAGGGTTAATTCCACCTCAATCCACCTCAGATCATACACACACACACAAATATATATGTATATATATATATTTATGTATATTTGGTCACCAAAAAAGCTGGTATCATATGTAAAACATAAAATCCCTTAGATTTTCTCCCACGTCGTTCAAAAATGATTGCAAATTTCTGTAGTGTTTCTTTTAAGTGCAAATAATTCAGTACGTTCTTCTCCCCCATCATGCCTCTAAATGCCTCCTTCGACATCCGCCTCCCTAGGTAGTTGCAGCCCACGTGGTAAACAGGTCACACAGACAGACAGAGGAAGGAGAGCTTGGTTCATGCAGCTGTCTTGGACACGACGTCGTCACGCCTTAAGGTGCGTTCTGTAGCATCGGTATGCGAGTGTGAATGAGAGAGATAACAGTACTGCAGCCAAGTCTCCACCTCACTGCTCTTTCATCCTGTGCGTTTTCGTTTTAGGGATTCCAGCTGAACGACAGAAACAAAGTATAACTACGTATGTTTGACTCGCAGGCAACAAAGTGGAACGAGTTTTATTCCGCCATTACCTCACTCTCCACCATCTTCATCCTTCCCAGGGCATCCTTTGCAGCTTCCTATGGGAAAAAAAAAGGAGATTGAAAATGAGAAAAAAATAAAAATAAAAATCCAACTACTCTGACCCGCCCACACTCACCCTGTTGCCTTGGCTGGAGTAGTTTTTCACAGACTCAGAAAGTCCTTGGACGAAGCGCAGCAGGACGTGTTCATACTCTGCACATATTGTGAAAACATGAGTAACGAAATTAAAAACAGCGGCATGATTAAACGTTGCAGTCACAACATGCAAACACACGGACATGACGGCAAAACCAGATTTTTGAGCAAGTTCAATAAAAAATAAATGACACAGTGTCTCTCAAATGCATTTGAGCCCTTAAACATTTACAGATTTGTCACACAAACTAATTTTAAGGATTTTTACCATGGTTTCTTCAGTTTTCATCTACTCCAATTTAAGACTTTTTAAGACCAGTATGAATGGAGTTTAAGACTTTTATCTCCACAGAAACATACAAACTTTGTTCAGCCAACTGGCGATAAATTATCACTTACTCATGATAGATGGAAAAAGAAGCTAGCTAGCTAATACACCCATGCTAGGTATGTTAGCAGTCAGTTAGCAATAGCTTCAATTGCCTGGAGTCCCAGAATTCAATGAAGAAGTCTGTGTGAGACTCAAACGATTGCTTGACAGAAAAATCCCGCAAGAAACAAAAACATAGAATATGGACAATTAAGACAAAATTTAAGACCTGTGGTTAACAAATTAATGCTGAACTTACTTTTGAAAAATGAATTGAAGACATTTTAAGGCCTTCATTTTAGATTTCATGTGACAGACAAGTACATACATACATATCCTATGATACTGAGGTATTAACAACCTTCATACTTATGGAGCTAAAAAAAAAGAGATCTGCAAGCTCAGAAAAAAAAAAAACTATTAAAAATGACCCAGAATAAACATATCTTCACTGAGATGCTGTAGTAATAATTCGGACACAGCTCGATCTGAAACTCGGCATGGGGCGAGTGCAACCTTCGCTCACGTCCCAAATTAGAAAACCTGAAATGAGCGTGAAAGTGACCGAGCACAAGCTTCGCAAAGGAGCGACGTACACAGAATTAAATTATGTAAGGCCTAAAGCCATAAGATGAGTCTGATGCGCATGGAGACGAGTGCGTGGATAAACCTCTGAGCCACGAATCTGAATGTGCACTACCTGTCAGCAGAGCAGGAGAGGCTCGCTCCAGCTGAGCTTTCTGCCAGCGCAGCCTGTGCGTGACCTCTTTGTGTTGATGAATGAGGTCAGATGGGGGATCGCGATGGTTTTTCCGGTAATCTGCAATCTGAAAGACGGCAGTAATGAGCGAGCGAGACCTTGGCTAAACAGATGTCATGCGCACAGGCTTGGATTACACAGACCTTCCTCTCCAGCCGCTCCTTGTCGTAGTTGAGGAGGCTGAAGCTGTGGAGTTTGTACTGCGGAGGAGAGCCGTCGGGGCGACTGCTTCTGCCGCTCGACTCGTGTTTGGGTTTAGGCCGAGGAGATGGGGCCTTACAGGGGCAGAGGGAAAACAGACCCAGCTCATCAACATGGACTGTCCTCAGACGTTACTTGTTGTAAGTCATTTCCGTTTAGAGGTGATCAGTAATGGTTAACCAAGTGGAAATATGGTTGATACAGCCCAGCACATCCAAATAAAGTCAGTTTGTGGATTTAAAAAGAAAACAAAACACTTCTCATATTCTGAACTGGACGCTGAATGTTGCTGTAAACTTTGCTAGACTCAGGTGAGACGCAGACGATTTCTGCAGGAGGGCTTATTGCAGAAATACACCAACTGCTCTGGTTTGATAAACATTAGTCATCTAATTCTCTCATACATCTTCTCTCTGACATCTTGGCACTTTGTCTCTTCTCTAAGATATTCGTTCTACCGCCAAACTAAAAAAATGTTGGAGCGTGAAGCAAAAGCCTTTGTGGTTTATTGATTCTTACATCAGCTGGTTGGGCGAACTGTTAGCTACTCACTCGCTCCTTTTGCCTCTCTGGAGGAGAAAGCGGCGACACCGGCTCCAGAACGAACCACTTCTCCGTCGTCGGCTGCAGGTCCGCTCCTGAGAGAGGCTCTCTGATCTTCACCCTCACCTCCAGCTTCCCACCGGTAGCTTTACGGCCGTCCATCACCTGTCCAGACACACGCGCTTCTCAGAGCGAATCGACGCAAATGCTCGTGTGAGCCGAACATTTTTTGATCACTGACGCTTACTTCTATGATCTCTCTGATTTCACAGTGGTTCTCCAGAGCCTCTAGTTTCAGCTGAGCAGTGCCCACTGCTCTGTCCGTCTTGAACAGACCTCTGCAGAAACACAGGGACGAGGAAGCAGATGGCAAAAGATACAACATGCAGCTTCAGAGCTTTCTAGAAACTTCCTGTTGAGGCTGAAGAAGAACTTCTAACTCGTCTCCTACTGAATGCTGAATCAGTTTGCTCTATTTTAGTTCCTTTACATTTCATCACTGCATTGACAGTCAGTCTTTTTATGCGTTAGTCAAGACTAGATTATGTTGTTCATCCTAAACGACGGGGTTTCTTATGCACGGATGTCGTTTCTGTGAGCAGCTTAGTGATAGAAATCGTAGTTTTTTTATGCGACTCAGTTATAAAGAAGCTCATTACAAATGGGAATGTTCTTCAAGAGCAGGATTTGTTGGGCTATAATCGCTTTGTCATGCAGTCACAAAAAAATAGTTAAAAATGGTTCATACTGTCACTTTTATTGTCATCACAACAGTACCATAAAATGTTACGTCCATACCGCCCACCTCTAATCCAACCAGTTGCTCTTAGTGCAGCTGAGGTCTGAATTACAGCTTAGATTAGATGCGGCTTCAGCAGCTGAAACAACCCGCTAATCAATATTTGTACTTATTTTGAGTATTTACAGTCTTCCGAGTCCCATCAGCCCCTTTTATGTCCTGGAGTCTCATTGTTTTAGCTTGTTTCCAGTCAGTTTTACTAAAATCATTGCTTTAGTTTTTTTATTCAGTTGTATACATTTTATTGAGTAGTGTATTTTTCCCTGACATTTCGCCGACACCGAGTAGTTTTACCCCTTGTGGACGACTTCAAACTTGATGCCTTTGGACTGAACAACCCGTTTGAATCCTCTGTGGGTTCGGTTAATGTTGAGTCTGAACTGCTCTTTGAACTCTGGACTGCTGCTGTTCTTCACCGTGCCGGTTTTGTCCCTCTGGGCGTCCTCCTACACACACACACACACACAGACAAACGCACCGTTCAGCACAGACGCGTGCAGCCAACACCGACTCAAAACAACTGGGCGAGAGAAAGACGGAGCCTCACCGAGCTGGGAAAGGGAAATTCGAATTTTACGCTGGCGTCCAGATCATTAGGAGAGACGCCTGTGGAGTCAAGAGTTCGGTGTGAACGGACTCAGATTTACCAGGCTGCAAAGCGCCAAACCTCGAAGACCCGCACGTCCTCCATACCTGATGGAGCCGGCAGGTTAATGCCTCGGATGATGTACAGTACCAGGTCACTGGGAGACAGGTTGGAGTTGATCCTGTGTGATGGACAAACAACCAATTAGGATAAAAGCCAAATAATTTTGGCTGTTTTATGAGTCACACAGCTTTTAGCTTCATGTCATGCTGGAACGGAGATGCACTGAGTCACAGTGAGTCACTCTGACTCATCTCCCACACCACTGAGGTAAAGCGGTCCATTTTCAGGACCAAAACATATTTCACTAAATTAAAACCCTGCTTCATTGGAAGAGAAATTAATGACATCAAACCAAATTAAATGGTATATTTCTATTTGTTTTCCGGCACATTTATCTAACTTAATCCATCTGGTTTTAACTCTATGACCATCTCACTGCATAGAAAATGACTTCTCTTTTACATTTCTATAACTAAGAACGACATTTTTATCTTTGGGAAACTCATCTAAGATGCATTCAATCTCAAGAATCCCAATGATCAATCCATAAATATAAAAAAGACAAGAGTGAAATCTGATGGGGATGAAACCGATTTACTTTGCAGAGTTGAAGGTTCTCTCCTGGGTGAGGCACTTGGGGACCGGGTGGCCCTTGGCGTGGGCGTTCTTCAGCAGCTTTATGTACTTCACGGTCTCCTCAACCAGCTTCTCAGACCTGAGGGGAGGCAGAAGGGAGGCTTTTGCACAAACACTGATGGTGCAAGATATCTCAAGTCAGCAGAGACAGCTGTCAAAGCGCAGTGTGCCAGACCGCGCCAATTGTTACACCCAACAAGAGTGTTGGACGATTAACGCAAGATGCTTTTCAGAGTGTAAATACGAGGGGAAAAAGGAGAAGTGAAAATATGTTCCTTACTTCAAAGCCTCGCCTACGTTGCCCAGGAGCGTGAACTGCTTAGAGAGGCCCAAACATTTCTGTTTCACATCGGGACCAAGAAGAAGAAGAAGAAAATTGTGGGTAAGAAAACATGAGACAGCAAGGGGACGGAAAATGTGGAGAAAATGAAAAATAACTTACAGATTTACAAAAAGATTCACAACCCAATAACATCAAGAGACCGGTGCACACATTTTAAAAGGTGATGTGAAGGAATATTTATACATCAGACTTTTAAACAGACAGGGTTCTAACCTCGTGTTGCTTTCGTAGGAGATCCATGAGTGCTTGGTACTTTTCACTGGAGCCAGGAGAGGCCCGGGAACGGCCCAGGGAATAATCCTCCTCACTCACCGGAGCGCTTGGAATCTGATCCGAAGCAGTGAGAAAAATGTGATGGAAGTGTTTAAAAACAGAAACAACAATCTCCAGAAACAGTCGAGTAACGAACATGACAAAAAAAACAAAACGGCGCTAAATCTGTAGTGTACATTTTGTTTTACCACATGGACCAAAAACAGTTGAAGATACTTGAGGGCTGCATTCATTTAAATACATTTTACTTCTTTCTAGTTTCTTGGAGTAGAGCATGTTTGTTTATTCTCAGCAGCAAGAACAGGATACAAGTCACAATTTCCTGTATTAAGCCCAGTTTAATGAATGGGACCAACCAAGTCTGCTTTTGAACAAAAGTTTCTGGACGTCTATGATCACATTTCCTATGAAAACCAAACAAAATGGGTTATTGGAAGACAAATACTTCGTGTTGTGTCTAAGCCTTTCAATTTGGAAAATTTTGTTTGTCTGCCTCTTGTCTGAAAGGCCTCTCACATCAGTAAAAAAAAGAAAAAGAAAATGATCGGAGATATCCCTCTGCATACATTTACCACTGCACTATCCAAGCTAAAACTTTATTATTTGCAACACGTCATTGAAATCTATTCAAATATTGTTTATGTTTCTCTGTTGGTTTGAAGTGAGGTTCCAGTTTGAGGTCATGTCCCGTTGATAATGAGACAAACAGAAACACAATATTCTGGGTAAATCCGTGGAGGGGCTGAGTCAGACAAGTCAATAGGTTATATGAAGAATAGCTGAATAAAACAGTCGGATATGATTTAAAGAAAAAAAAAATCACTTGGGATGAAAGGTGTTTGTGTGGAATAATAATATATGACTGGTGGCAACAGAGCTTCCCATCTGGAAACAGATACAGAAAACGTAAAAAGGTCTCACTTTCCGCCATCTTGTTTCTACAGGGTGGGCCATAAGTTTCCATACGTAGAAGAATGTAAAATGTATACTTCTTATATATTTCTGATATCCAAGAAGATGCGTTTGACAAAAGAGAAATGAATTGAAATTATACTGATGGCTGGATCGGGAAGTAGTCGCATGGATGCACGAGACTTTAACAGAAAAAAATGGAGCGAGCATCACACACCACACGGTGGCAAAACTTATTTGCAAGTTTCAGAAAACTGGAAATGTTGCAGATCAAGACGTGCAGAAATAAATGACAAAATCCCACAAAAATAAAAATAGTTGTCCAATATAAAATGTTTATTTTTTTCTATGTATGGAAACTTATGCCCCACTCTGCATTTTGCATTGAGTGCACCTGCAAGAATTATTAGCAAAAACCAATATCTTTATAACCTTTGTGATGTCAACAGGAAGGCCAGCCTTTGCAGCCGTAACCATGGGATCCAGTCCTTTGGCGTGCCTGAGGTGCTGCGCTGCTCCAGTCATGTCCTGAAAACAACCAACTATGTGAATACATCCACTGCCGCGCAGCAGACTGCCAAGAACAGGCAACAAAATGTCCACAAACAGCAGAGAAACAACAAACAGGTGGGGAAAAAAATAAACAACCTGTAGCTCACCTTCATCTGTTTGGAGCGAAGTGCTGCACGCAAAAAGGCCTGTCGTCTTAGCAACAGGAAGTCTAGCTGCTGCTGGGCTGAAAACGTAGTGAAAAGGTAAATCTGGCTTTTAGATTTATGACACATTTCAGACATGAGCAGCACCCTGCAAAAGCATTCGCACTCCAGGCACCTTTCCACATTTTGTCACGTTACTGGCATTTCCCGTGCTTGAGCAACCAGGAAGTAACATTCATGCCCCTTATTCTGACACCCCTAAAGAAAATCTATCGCAAGCAACTGCCTTCAGAAGTTATCTAATTGACAAACAGAGTGTAATTTAAACTCAGTGTAAATCCAGCTGCTCTAAATAAGTTTGGTTTAAATTAAATCATTCTGTTTCCGAATCATTATGCACTGCCTTTTGAGGTAACTCACATGACATAAATTGATGCTAAAAGCTATTAGACCTGTAACGATTAATTGTGATGAATCTATTACAGAAAAAAAAGTTGTCAATTTAGCAATCGATTAATTATCACATGGAGTATACAGACTAAAAAAAGGTCATTTGCTGAAAAGAAGCACACATTCAGAGCAGGAATGATGCCAAAACCGTAAATTTTTAAATTCAAACTTAATTCAAAAATAGTTTATTGAGCCCAAAGGGAAACGAAAAGTTGTTGTAACTCATTTATTAAAGAGGCTGTGGGCAGGAAGGAGCTTCTGCAGCAGCCTGTATCACAACAAATTTGAAGATGCCTCTGACTAAAGACACTGTTTTTCTATGACAGTCTCATGAAGAGGAAGCTCACGGTTGTCCATAATTTTCTTGACTATTTTCTTTGCACCATCATCTCCAGCATTTCCATTTAAGATTTAAAAAAAACTTTGTCTGTAAATGTGTTTTAACCAAAACTCCTCAAATGGCATAGTTTTAGCTTCACCCTGCTCAAATTCCTTACTGTAATGCCATGTTCCTTCATTTTTGACAACAAAATGTTCATTTTCTTGTTTAAAAAATGTATTTTGTTTGTTTATTTGCATATTTACATGCATTTCTAATATTGTATAAACAACTTTAAGGAGTTAAATGATAAATCTGTAGAATATGTCATTTTTAAAATCCGACTGATTGAATAAATGAGTACTAAGATAATCGTTACGATGTCACAACATGGTAAAATTTCAAGTGTTTCTTTTATTAAGGCACTGCAGGCAGAAAATGCAGAGTTTTGAACCGACCTTTCGCTCCCAGTTTTGGAGCCGAGGATCCTGCAGGGACTGGGGGAGCCGGAGACTTTGCTTTCTGCACAGGTTGACGCACTGCAGGCTGCAGAAAGGAAACTCATCAGACAAACCAAATACCTCCACAAACCAACGTCTGGCTGATGGTTTAAACTGTGGGCATAGCTTGGAATAGAGAAAAAAAAATCTAACTTATTGTATATTAACATGAAAAGCTTCTGTAGCTACTGCTTTGTCATAATAGGTTATTAAGCAACCAAGCAATCCTGCAGTGGGTAGGAGGTGCAGAGCAAGAAACAATACTGATAAAACAAACAAACAAAAAACTCTCTTTGAAGCCGCAGGAGCTGAAACGGGACCAAATGAAGCTTTTCTTTCTTTAACCTGCAGACAGATTTCCTGGCTGCACTGGGATATTTGGGCTGTTTTGTGCAGCTCTCCATCTTTTTCATCCCCACCTTGGCAGCCTCTTTCTGTCCATCCTCGTCGTCGTCGTCATCGTCTGCGTCGGCATCCTGATTTGCTATTTTCATAGCTGTTTCCAGGACACCTATGAGGTTCTGCTGACTCCCATCTGAGCCCTGGAGAGGAGGACAGCCTGGAGAAAACACACACACTCAAATAAGCTTAACAAGTCAAAGCTTAACAACTGGAGTCAAAACCTGACACAAAATATCCAGGAAGTTACCAGGAGGCACCGGCAGATCGTTCAGGTTGACAGGTCGGCCTGCGCTGTGAGCTTTGATGGCGTCCTGGTATTGCTGTTAACAGAGAAAAAAAAATCAAACAACAAAACTCTGGGAGGTTCGCTACTGAAAGAAAAAGGGAGGCAATCAAAACAAAAGTGGCTGACGCAGCAAATAACTCAGAATTGCAAAAATTGGTGGGTAAAAAAACAAAAAACAAAAAGAAAAACTCATCAATACAGCCAAACCTCGGTAGAAGTCATGGAAACCCACTGTGTAGATGGAGACTACGTCCAAGAACACATCCAAAAATAACTTTACTGATGCAAATGTAAAAACTACGCCTGAAGAGAATAAAAAATCCAAGCACAGGTTTTACAAACACCTTCATATCACGGAGTCATAAAGCAGACACACAGACCCAGCCAGGTAAATCACTTCCTGCTTATATAAGATAGATCTGCATCTCGGTTTTAGTCAGGATCTGTGCTGAAGTTGCTTTTGTCACAAACACAGCAGATTCAGACAAATATTTTCTTGCAGTGAGCAACTAGTCAGGACTTGACAACGCAGCATCTGTCGGTTTCAGGCAGGAATCACACCAAGATTGCTCTGAATCAATAGGCGATCTGAATGTTTTTAATGAAGCGCCGCAGAGGCAAAAGAAAATCTTCTAGCAGTCATTCAAAAATAAAAAGCATTAATTGAACTGAAAAATACGTATTTGGCAGAAAAATAAATTCTTCAGTCTTCTGTGAAATCCCTGACCTGATGCTGAAAGCAAGCGCCACAGCAGGTCCCCGCTCTTCATTTTATCCCATGTCAAAAATACCAGCAGGTGGTATTTTTTCACACAAACACCTTAGGTTTTACAGAATATGCTCACCATAGCTGTAACATACATAATTAATAAGCAAATAGCCCAAATTATGCCAGAAATATGTGATATGTCATCTAAACCCAGGCAAACTGTGTTAACACAGAGCTGTACCGTTTGCCCAGTTGATACAAGAGCAGATCTTCCTCTGCATGTAATTTCAGAAATAAACAGAAGATCAGAAAGGAGTTTGGGAACCCTTTAGGACTCGCAATTAGCTTTGTAAATTTGCCCCAATGTGTCAAAAAAGTTATATTGACAATAAGCTAATTTTGTGAGATGTTTAAAGCAAGTGAGCTTTTAAAATGTGATCAATGTGTGCAGCTCTATTTTCAGCTCCTTTAAGTGAGAAGAAATCAGCAAAACCTTGAAGATTTCTAGGAATTTTTCACAGATTTTACTCCATTTTTCTGGTTTACCAGTTTGCCCTTGACTATCGTGTCCTACAATGACACTATAATCTTTCAAGTCAAATATACACCACCAAGATACCAAAACAAAACGGAAAAGGTCAGTCACAGTCACACAGGCCATGTAAGGTGATGAATCAATTCTTAGGGAGGGAAAAACTAAATAAATTCCCTTTAAAAAGGCAGCATTGAGGCTACCTTAATAATCCGCTGGTGCATGCGAGCTTTCCGATCGTCTCCTTTGCTCTTGGCTCCCTCTGCTGCCTGCTTGTAAATGTCCATCCTCTGCTTTAGGGCCTCTGCCACGCTGCTGGGAGCAGGAAGGTCTGCAAAACGAAACACAAATACTCCTGGATGCTAAATTTAACATGATTACGTTGTTTTCACAGCTCAAAAACAACATTTGAGCTACCACTCAGACATTTAACACAGAACCCATGCATGTTTCTAAATATAATTTAAAATTATCATCAACCATGTTCCCTTTATGAAAGGTTTTGCCATTAATGTTTGTCTGGGTAAGAGAAAAGAGATGATTTTTTTCAAATCTTTTACACTGAGAAAAAAATAGAACAAAATCCTTCATCTTCTGATCAACTTCAATAAACAAACAAAAAATAAAACTTTTCAAATGCACTCAAATCTCAGTGTGGGCTTATACTACTGCAATTTTAGGTAAATTTATTTAAAGATTATAGATTTTTTTCTTAAGAAAATAGTGAACACATAAAGTGTTTAAGAGGCACCACTGAGAAAGGAGGGTCCTTACTGTTGGTGGCTGTCTGGGTGGGTGCAGGAGCAGCAGGAGCAGCAGCAGGTTTGGTAGCTGTCTGAGGGGGAACAGGTGCACGCTGCTGCTCCACTGCATCTCCTGCAGATAATCAGAACAGTGCAGAAGTAAGTACTGGTTACCTTAGGAACAAAAACTTAAAAATGAAATTAAGTAAATAAAATTAAACGGCCTAGCTGCCTACAGTGCTCCTGATTTAGACTTTGTCAGTGCTTATTAAATAACTGATAAATTAACTGATTTGGCTCATATTTACTCAGAATATTGTGGTCAGAATAATATGCCACGCAGCTCAATTATACCTGCAACTCATCAAATAATGCTAAATGTTTTCACTAAATCAGACAGCACTGACTCTCAAAGACAAAAAAGACCCATAAAGCTTGGCTGCAGCATTTAAACATGGTGATAAAAATCAACAATTATAACCAGTAGCTCTGTCTAAATGAAGCCATTAATATAATTCTTATCTGTCTATAAAAACCGTAAAAGATAATGTTTCCTGCACTGGCTCCAGTCTTTAATCCTGAATTCATAACAGAAGAGATATCTGCTCCTGTTGCCTGAGCCTCAACTGAGATATTTGTGGAGTTTCTCTCATTTTACCTGCAGTGCTGCAGACTCACCTGGAGGGGGAGGTAGCGAGCCCAGTTCCACTGGTTCCCCTCGGTCCACGGCCTCCACCAGCGAGTCGAGCTTCTGCAATGATGGAGGACAGAACACCTTGTTGACTCTCCGTCATTTTGAAGCAAACGGACCTACCAGAGCGGCAGCGGCGTTACCTTGGCAGTGAGGTAGTGCTGCTTGGCCAGGTTGACGTCACCGCTCTGCCTGGCCTGAATGGCAGCCATCTTGTACTCCCTCTGTCTGGACAGCACTGCCCGTTTCAGCTCTACACGGAGCGAAATTGTGAATACAAGTTAGTTTCCTGTTACGGAGAACTGTAACAGCAAAAACATAAAATATTACCAAGTATTTATAGCCTAGTTTCTAGTGGAAATAGATTAATACACTTGAAATAAATTAAAACTAACTTTTCAGCAAGATAGGAGCTTGTTTGAAGTCCTTAAACGTGGGAAAAATATCTTGTTTTACGTGAAAACATGTCAGAGGAACAAGTTCTTTATCAATATTAAGAAATTATCGACTTAAACCAAGCCTCTATATCTTGCTAAAAAGTTACATGTAGGGCAGCACCGAATGATTATTTTAGTTATCAATAGATCTGATTATTTTGACGATTAATCAGATCATAAAATGGCACATTCTACAGGTTTTTAAAGTTTTTTTTAATACAATATCAGAAACAAATTTAAAAATGCAAATAAACAATTCAATTCCTTTTGAAATGAGAAAAACATTTCATTGCCCAAGATGCAACGACACGCTTGACCATTTGTAGCAAAAAACATACTTATAACATCAACATGTGAAAAGCTCAGTCCTTTCTGCGTTAATTAATATCAGTGTAGTGAAGGTCTGATCTGTTGACTACTTTTTCAATTAATTGATTAATAATTGGATATTAACACATTTTTCCACTGAATTTGAACCAGGTGAAGCTCATATTAAATGCAAAACGTAAATATTGTTTGTACAGTTTTGGATTAATTACCAATATGAATATGTTGTTCTTTCAGAAAATGACTTTTTTTTTAAACCTGGATGCTCCAGTTAACAGTTAATCTATCACTAAATGAGTTGACAATTATTTCAACAATCAAATAGTTACTATCAATCTCATACTTTTGAGTTGGTTTGTCTTATCTCAAGCGTAATAAGACATTTGGACCAGAAACTAGACTAACTATACTCAGTAAGACTTGTGAAAGGTGTTCCCAGTTACCTGAGTGCTGGGCGTCAGGTTGACTGGGCGTCAGGGGGGAGATGGCAGGCGTTTCTGGGGTGATGGCAGTAGCTGGTTTTTGGGGAGGGGTCAGATGTCTAGGTTTAGTGTTCAGAGTTTCTGGCGCCGGCTCCCTCAGTGGTCTCTGATTAGAAGGAGGGGAGGGAATCAGCGCGGGCGGTTCTCGTTCCTTTACGGGTTCAGGCTCGGCTGGAGCGTTTGATTTTGTGCCAATGGCAACCGGAGGAGGAATCTCCTCTTCATTGATTGGCTTCCCTTTTTTCACAGACGTCAACATGGACTGCAACGTCTACAATTTAGAGAGGACAGTCATAAACACACAGAGTCGATCTGTATATAGACAGAGAACCTTAATGTCACACATGGGAAATTTTTCCATTTCGTTTTTATCAGTTTACCTTTAACCCTCTGTCATATCTTCGCACTTTACTGGTCTCGCCTGCAGCCTTGGCATTGGCTGTAGCCTTCTGATACATATCAAGGCGCTCCAACAGGCGAGACTCCAACCCTGACGCTCCGCCGGGAGCGCTGGGAGAAGAGACGCTCACTTTAGGAACAGTGGGAGTGACGGCGGGACGCGCTGGAGCAGGAGTGTCCGCCTCGTCATCCTCCAGCACTTCGTTTAATTCTGCCTGCGAACAGAGCAAGAACAAGAAATGCACAAAGAAACTGAGATAAGAGTTGCATCATTATGGCAAAAGGTAAATGTGGGATACTGTGAGTACTTCAAAAAGAGCCCAATAATGTGATTTAAGACCTTATTTTTAATGTCTAAAATTGATGAAAAGTGTGTGTGTGTGTTACCAGCAGGTCTTCATCATCCAAATCTTCGTCTCCCATGTCCTCGTCGTCCAGATCTTTCATACACAGAGCCGCCATTCGCTCAATTTCAGCCATTGGAACAGGAGCTGAAAAGAAACAATCAGAAACAAACCAAGAAGGGTTTGATGTTGAGTCATTTAAGATGAATCAATGATCAACACTTTAAAGTGAGGTCAGAGTCGTCCTTCTCTTTGATTTTAGCTGATGTTCTGTGGTTTTTCCCTCTGAATTGGACGTTGTTCTCTCCGTACTGATTGAACGAAGAGTTTCTTACCTTTTCATTCTTTAAGAGAAATAAACTGAGTCTTGTTTCCAAAGCTCCCTCTAATCCCTCAGGTTTGTTCATATTTTCCCTGCCATCTTTCAAGCGAGAGAAGAACACTCACATCTTCCATCCCCTTTCTTCCCTTGTGGTCTCCCTCCTTTTCCTCCTCCTCCCACCAAACTGAGGAGCTCTGCCTCCAGGTCCTCGTCGTTTCCATCATCGTCCATCCCACCGTCCGGGGTAAGGTCGAGAAGAAGCCCCATCTGAGAGCCAGACAGAAGGAGAGCCGCTGAATGACATGTAAAACTAATATTCTCTACCTCAACAAAACATAATTTTAAGTTCACATTAAACCCCTTTAAGCTTTGATCACAGCACAGATTTGATTTCAGTCAGGATCTTGAACAGTTTGAATTGCTGCAGGAACTATTTTCACACTCATCCCCAACAATATCTGATGAGTTATAATATTTTCTCAATCAAATGTGTAGCACTAATGGAAAAGCAAGACATATTTTTTATAATTAAACCACAACATTACTGTGCCTTCAATAAGCAGTCACACCCTTTAACTTTTCCACAATATAACCACAAACTTCAATAAATGTTATTAGGATTTTATGCAAGAGATAAACATAAAGTATGCTGTATTTTTTAACAATTAAAAATAAATAGTTGCATGTATTTGTTTTTTTTAAGCCTGTTTTACTCTCATACTCCAAGATCAAATTGCTGACAACCAGATGACTTCAGAAATTGTCCAATTAGTAAGTAGAGTCCACCTTTGAGTAATTCAATTTAATTTTTAGTTTAGTTCAATTCAGAATATTCATACTGCACCAATTCACAACACATCATTTCAAGTTACTTTACAAAAACGTTATTTCAATTCAATCACACATACAGTCCAACTGAACAGTGCATTTAGTTCAGTTTGTCATTCAAATTTGTAAAAGTTTTCTATCCAACGTAAAAGGTTCAAGGCGTGGCGTGGAAGCAGTTTTCTGTAGGATCCACAGCTGTTAGTTCTGGCATCTTGTATTTTACTGATATATATATATATATATAATTTTTTTTACATTGCTGTTAGGCGTAAACCCCTTTTATTAAATCTACATTTCACACATTTCTGTGGTGTTTGTAGAGCTCCGCCTCAGCTTTTCTTCCACGTTTTGATTTTATTTAATTCCAGTATTCTTTGCCGTCTCTTTAGCCGTTTCATCTCCTTTTAATACTGACTGATTATTTGAACCTTATGAATCAGACACATCATGACTAAAAATACCTCCAAATTCTTGTCAGCTGAAACATCAACGCAGTACTTTTCCACTACATAGTTTTTTCATTTAGTTAATTCCAGGAGACAATTTTAGCATCAGGCACAATTCACAGATTTGGTTATGGGTTATGACAGGTATTACCTGTTTGGCTCTGGCTGCCCCTTGACCCCGGGGAGGAGGGTTCCTGCTGCGACTCATGGGCTGTAAACACCTGTGAGAAAAACAAGTTAAAATAATTAAATCCCTTTGTTTGAAATAATGCGGCAAAGAAAATTATCCAAACTGTCACATATCGTATTAGCGTCTCTACTCCTGTTAGCTTCCAGCTAAAAGAAACCTCACAGCTTTTGCTTTTTCTGACTGGCTGTTTTTACCTTCACAGCTCTACTCAGTGTTGCTTTGCTCAGCTCGGTCACTCAGATTTTAAACTCCTTCCGTACAACTTTAACCAGGTAAACAAAGAGGGGCACTCCTATGTGTAAGCGCTTAGTTTGAGGTGTCAAAACAAGAACAGTAAGCCGTATAAATGACTTCCTGTATGGCGCTTTACGGCTGGTCGAAAACACGCCCATAGTTGACGTAAAGCAGTGACGTTTGGTCCTGTTAAAGGCACACGTAGCTCAGGTGAGCAGTTTCAGGTTGGTGAAAAAAAAAGTAAAAAAAAAAAAAATAGTCCTTAACATTAAAAGACTTAATAGAAAATAAGACAAAATTTCGCACGAAATCAACTAATAACTTAATTTAAGATGCCGGTTATGTTCACGACAATTTTTCACTTAGCTAGCTAGGTGTAATTTGCTTGCTACATGCTCAAATATTTTGTTGAATATTTTTGTTTCGGTGTAAATTGCTTTGTTTACCCTAAAATCATTGTTTGATGGTTAGTAAAGTAAAATTTAAAACTCTTGTTTGCATTGTGTTGTATTCTGTCATATCTTTAAATGAACCTTTTTCTTTCTTTTAGTTGGCAAAAATGACCAAAGGGAAAACAAAGTATAACAGCAACGGTAAAAAATCAAAAACAAAAAAAAAAAAACACTCATATTATTTATTAAAACTTTTTTTTTTTTACTTTTTTGCCTTAAAAAATTTTTCATTTTTATTTTTTATTTTGTATTAAAGCTGTTTATATTCATTGCCCTTCCCTCAACATTTTTCATATTCACTACACAAAGTTCAATATACTTGAGATATTGTTTTGTAACCTTTCCCTGCTTTAAGCTTCCCCATGGCTTTATACATAACCTGTTCAACACATTCCTTTGTGTTTATGATGCTGGTTGTTCTTTAATGTTTTCTAGCAAACCACAAAGGTGGACTCAATTTACCAACAAGACAGGGTTCAAAATTCAGTGCAGTTGTTTGACTTTTATTTAGAGGTAGTAGAGTATCTTTAATTTCGTACTTTCAGTTCCAACCCCTCAAATATGTTTTTAACCTCCAGTTAACAATCAGTTACTCTACTAGTTGACGATTATTTCAATAATCGATTAATTGTTTCAGCTTTACTGTCTTTAATTGATTAGGAATGTTTTTGTATGTTTTAAGAGGACATGGCTCCACCCCAGACTCGGTCCCTGAGGTCAAAGAAAAGGACCTGTCCAGCTGATGAATCCTTCCAGGAGGTCCAGGTTGTTCCCCTTCAAAAGGTATTTAGGACTTGAACAGAGCCTTTAATGGTATTACATTTAAACAAACTGATATGTCAGACTTTTTCTTTAATTATTAGGACGCAGAAGGAGATATTAAAGAAGCCAATAAGACGCTGCAGCAGACTGAACTCCAAGAAAGTGCAGCAGTCCCAAATATACAGCATGAGGGAGAGGAGCGGTCCAGTCTCTCAAAAGCAGATGAAAACAACTCAGAAGAGGTAGATGCCACAGACATCGCAAATGATGGGAAAGAAGGGACCACTGTCTGCGATCCTAGCCATTGTTTTGAGCTGGACACCGGCTGCAAACAAACTAATGATTCTACCAACGGAAACGAAACAGGATGTAGCAGATCGCCAGGCCAACCCCAGATGTTTGTGCCCGCCGCTGAAGACGACAGAAAACCCAGCTGCGCTGTTTTGGAGAAGCAACTGGAACGCTTCAACTTGAAGAGAAGTCAAGACACCAACGACGATAAGCCCAGCTGCGGCACGGCGGACGTCAAGGAGTCGGCGGCGGGTTTACCGGCCAAGAAGAAGCGAAGGATGGGCATGTGCGGTCTGATGGAGAAGGAACGGAGTCACTTTCTACAGGCACAGCAACGGGAGGGCGTGGAGAACGGAGCAGGGAGCGCAGGAAAAGCCGTATGTGATGAAACCGCTGAGCCTCTAGGTTCAGAGAGCGATGTCTCCCCAAACCATTTACAGTCCACACCTCCTCATGCCTCAGCAGACATCAGAGAGGAGAGGGAGGAAGAGCCTCAGCCTGATGATCACCAGTCAGTGCTTTTTAGTTTTTAAATTTTCATGATATTATGGAGTGGAGAAATTAGTTTGTATTATGTATGACTTGAAATTATGTTTCTTGAAAATGATCCCAAAACAACTATGTTATCGCAATAATGTCTGGTACAATTTACTGTTGAGCAAAATTTGTTAGTTTGACAGGCCTACCTCAAAAGGCGTTTTATTGCAGTATACTTTCATTTAGGAGTATCAGTGCATAAAAGGAGCTGAATTTAAATAAAAGCCAGACTTTTCAGATTTTTATTTGTAAAAGAAATGAGAAAATGAGGTATATTTCTATTCCGAGTAACATACACTAAAGTTTGTGGTTGTAAAGTAGCAAAATGCAACAAAAGTACAAAAGGTATAAATACTTTTGCAAGGCCCTTTAAATATGCCTCTTTTATTTTTACCTTTACCTTTAATGCAGAGCTGAAACCGAAGTCCACTGTTCTGTGACCGACATGGACGGAACTGGTACCACAAGTAACCCAGGATGCTCAGAGGAAAGAGAGTCTGAGGCTAAAGACGAATCTCTGACTGATCCAGAACAAAATGGCAACACAGAACCAATTCAACTCGCACAGGAAGGGGAAGAGAAACATCTGGAGAACCTGCAGCCACCAGAAGTCAAGGACCACGCCGCTGGAAATGCGACTCTCATGCCTGAAATCCAAACCAAAACAGAGGAAGATTTGCCACCAAGAGAACAAGCGAATTCTCTCCACTCCTTCACTGCAAAGCAGCAGGAGGAAAGTGATGCTGACGCGGCTCAGCCACAGACGTGCGGTGTGAACGGGACGACGGACGAGAGCAAACCGGAGGCAACTGACGGGAATGGTGGCGAAGGAGGAGCTTCCTCTGCAGCGACTCAATCTGCAGAATTAAACTGTGAGGCTTCACTGGCACCCGCTGCCCAAGAGATGAGCAACAGCGTAAGTAGATGTTGACCCTGGAAATGATTACGTCTTAGTCGATTTTATTGGATTTTCTGTCATTTATTAAGAAGGAGTGGATAGTGGAGGATTTGGGAGTTTGGAACAAAAGTATTAAAGCGTTTAGCTCAGGAGCTGATGTAGCATTTACAGGTAAAACCCAACTCTGAATCATTTGTGTTGAGAAAGCGCTAGACTTTGTATTTATTTAAAGCTCCCTGTGTGTGTTTGCACAGTGTGATCCAAATGACGATGATGATGCTGCTGGTCCCTCTGTCGTCCACACTGAGCGCGCTCCAACCAGGAGCCCGGAGAACTCGTCGGGCTCTGGAGTCGTAGATTACGTGTCGGACTCGCAGCTGAACACCATTGTTCTCATGTAAGAAAAAAAATTAAAGACTATACAGGTGCATGCTGGTTAATTTGACCATAATCAAAAAGTTCATTTTTTTCAGCAGTTTAATTTTAAGAGAGAAACCCAAGCAAAGAGAGATAAACTTCAAGCATTTGCTTTTTAGTTATTAATGATCATGGTTTGCAGCAAATCGAAACCTAAAATTCACTTTCTCACAAAATAAAATCATAAAACAAAAATGATCTGTAACGTTGTTATCAATAAAAATAAGACTCCTGACTTGATAGTTGGCTAATAGGCCAGGACAGTCATCCACGGTGGGTTATTGCTAAAGAAACTTAATGTTTATGGAGAGCTGCATGTTAATGGAAAGTTTAGTGAAAGGAAAAAGTGTTTTTTTCAGAAGCAAATTCCTTCGTAAGACTTCACAGAAGTGGACAAAAGACTGGAATTTGAATATTTAAATGCTTAATAAGCTTGTAAGTTATAAAATCATGACTTTAATCACCTATTTATGATCCAACCAACATTTTGCTCTCATCTAGTGAGGAAATGAAGGAAGTACCTGATCCATCGGGTCATCTTGAAGATGCCACAGAACTGATCTGTGGACTGATCAGAGAACTCTCCTCTCTGAAGTTAGTAGAAACAATTTCTGCCAAATATTTCATCTACTTTTATGTTTCATCTTACTACGTTTGTCATGTTTTTTTCTCGTCTTAATTCATCTCAGTCTCCTCACTCCTTAGGGAGTGACGTGTATTATCGCCCTTCAGTACTTTGATCTTCTTCGCCTGTGTTTCTACCTTCTGATTGGCTGCAGTAGCTCTGCCAGCTGTAAAACTTGTCTTGTTAAAACTTCAACTAAAGCTTTGATGTGACTGCTAAGAGAAATTGTTGAGTTTAGGTAATCGGAGAGGCTGTTGGCATCAAGAACATGACAGGTGGCGCTCCTCTGTGTTGTCAGATGATTTATTAAAGAGGGAACTTCACTATTTCCATCCTCTTTACTTTCCACTAGAAATTAAAACCTGTGAATCCTATTGGTGGATTTCGGCTTAAACTTCAGTGTTGCATTGGTTGCTAGCAAAACGACCAACACTGGAGAGGAGATCATGATCAGCAACCAGGTTCCTTTGGACGTAGATGACCGACAGTCTGTCCTCGTCTCTTCTTCACGTGACAAAGATAAAGTGCAAAGTGTTTATATTTTTTAAGCTTTTCGGCATTACAACTGCAAACCTCCAACGTACTTTTCTATTTTATGTTATGGAACATGTGCGTTTTTACTTTAACATAACTTTGGTTCTGATGGTAAAGGTCGACCTCAGAATGTTCAGAAATGGGTCATAACTATTTGCTTTCATTACTTTGCTTCACATAATGTTGCTGTACATCTCAACCCTTGATGTTAAGATTCTAACAGTGGATCTTTATTTACACATGATGAAGCTTAAAATTAAGAGCTTAACTCAGTTTTTTCCTTTTTTGTTCCAGCCGAAAGGTGATGGTCGCCCATCGAGAACTGGAGAACCTGCGGCGTAAACCTTCAAGAAGCTCTGTACGTTAAAGACTGCTTTCCAGAAGATTTTGTTCTCATGTTTTTCTCTTGTTGTCCTTAGAGTTCATTGGTAAAGTACAAAAGACGCCACTGAAATATTTCCCTAGTTTTCCACGTTCTTATGAATGTTTGCTTTGGGTATGTTGATCTAGTTCATCCTCAATAAATCTATGAGATCCAAACAACCAGAATCTGTTCTTAACATAGGAGGATCGATGAGATGTTTTTAAGCAGGGGTGTCAAACTCCAGTCCTCAAGGAGTTTGAGGGCACTGTCCTGCAGTTTTTAGATGTGCCACAGGTACAAAAACGCTGGAATAAAATGGCTTAATTACCCCCTTATTGTGTAGATCAGTTCTTCAGAGCCTTGCTAACAACGTAATTATTCTATTCAGGTGGTGCAGCAGAGGCACATCTAAAGGTTGCAGGGCAGCGGCCCTCCAGGACTGGAGTTTGACACCTGCGCTTTTAGGTATTAGCGTTCCAACAATTTGATCAGTCTCAATGACTAAATTGGCCAGTCTATCAATTAAAATATCATTCTGAAGGATGATATTTTTGAGTGCTTTGCAAATGTATTAAAAATAGAAAACCAAGAAATCACATTTTTTTAAATGTAATTAATCACAACCTTTTGACAGTGATGCTCAAAATTGAACCGTTTCCACTGATCATCCTTGAGATGTTGATAAATGGACTCCACCTGTGGTAAGTTCAGTTGATTGGACTGGCTTTGGAAAGGTCCCACAGTTGACAGTGCAGGTCAGAGGTCAAACACCAGGCCGGAAAGCAGTTAGTCTGTAGATCTCAGAGATGGAATCGTCTAGACCAGGTGTACAAAGTCGGTCCTGGAGGGCCGGCATCCTGCATGTTTTAGTTCTCTCCCTGGTTTAACGCACCTGGATCAAATGATGGCTAACGAGCCATCAGGGTCATCGGCCATCATGCTTCTAAAGAGAAGCCCCAAGAGGAACATTGACAAGCTGAAAAGGTTGTTACTACCACTAGGGAGAGAACTAAAACATGCAGGATGCTGGCCCTCGAGGACTGACTTTGGGGACCCCTGATTAAAACCCTTCTCTCCTGATTGCTCACCCCATTTGCCCAGCTAGCTGAAGATAGGAGAGACAAGCCTATGGTAGGGTTGGACAATATGGGTGAAAAACATACAATAAGCGCTTTCTATCAGTTGATAATTATTGATTTGGTTTTTGTTTTAAATATCTGAAATACTGCCAATGATGTGACCCTTCCTGTTTTATCCAGTTTTCATACATATTCAAAAAGGATGCAAGTACTGCCAACGTTGAAACAAGAGTATTAAACAATAGCTGTATATACTTAAACGGTTTTCTATTTTTACTAAATTTGCAAAAAAAAAAAAAAAAAAAAAAAAAAATTTTCCCACATTATAATGGGGTATTTATGTGAAGCACTTTGAGTAAATAGATTAATACAATTTGGAAAAAGACTAAATGTGAAAGCAGTGAAGCTTTGTGAAGACTTACCAGATGTACTGTAGAAAACAGCTGCAGCTGATTTAAGAAAATAAAAAGCTCTTGGAGACCTCTTGCATTCAATTTCCACATGCACTCTTTTTGATACAAGATATTTGCCCTACCTTTCACATACTTACCACCATTTTACATTGCTAATTGTGACATACAGGAGGCTCTTTTTTTTTTTTACGATCTGCGTTTGTATAGCAATAGGACAGAGAATGTGGAAGATTTGAGGTGTGGGTCACTACACTAGCAAGAACAAGAAAACAATGCAATTTTAAGTTTAGCCACTTGTTTAACTGGAACCACAGAAATATTTACAAACTTTACATGAGCTACAGTGGCATAAATGGGAAATTCAAAATAAAACATGCTCCCAGAATTCAGTACACAGAAGAGAAAGTGCCCCATTAAAAGCTTAAAATGCCGACATGGTCACATTATGCAAACATACTGTAGAAAAAAGGTAATATTGGTGAAACTGGAAGTTCTCCCAGAGTGCTGATTTCGTTGTAGTCCTTCAATGCATTTGCTATCAACCTGGACATGTGTTGACCATGTTCTAAAAGTATTCAAAACAAAAACATTTCCTTTTTTTTGTCCTCTCTCCTCCCAAACACATTATCTGGTAATCGTTTTTTTTTTTAAGTTATTGTACAAAATTCAGAACTGCAAACAGAGCGTTTAAAATAAATAGCTCCAAACAGAAAACATACACAAAAAAAGCATGCAAAAAAACAAAACAAACACAAAAACAAAGCATGCAAATAAGAATACAAAGCAAGCAACACACAAAAGTAAAAGCCACACCGATACTGACTTATAAGAATTAAAATGCACACAAAGAGAGAAAAAAAGGGGGAAGCTGCTTTTTTGTTTAGGGTCTCAAGGCCACCTGTTAAATCAGCGTCTGGTCTTGGTGTAAACCGAGCTGTAGGAGCTGTCCACTTTGGGACAGAACCGCTTGGTGTGGGCTCTGGCCCCCGTGGCGCCGCATAGTGGACACACGTACTGGCGCAGGTAGGGACATAAAACCTCTCCAGCCTGGTTCTTCAGCCAGTGGGATCCGTAGACCAGCTCGGACTCACCGTTATGCTTGCAGAAGCTGCAAAATTTTGAAGAGGGGCGCGCAGGCGGCTCTGGAGCCGGAGCCTTGGAGCGAGTCGCGGTACTCCTGCGGTCCTTGGGGCGACACCTGGAACCAATCGGTGTCTGCAGCGGATCGGCACTGGCCGACTCCTGTGCGAACCGAAACAAATCTTCCGTGGTCAGCATAGCCGCGGTGTTGGACAGCAGGGATTCGCAGGATTCTGCGTTCACGCGTATCGACGATAAAGTTCCGCTGAAATGATCGGGTTGGGAGTGATGCGCATTGAGATCTGGCAGGACTGAATCCCCGGTGCTGTTCCGACGCAAGATCTCTCTGACCGTGTCCGACAGTCCCATATAGTCCCTCCAGGGCTGGAAACCTTTGCTGTTCGACTCCATGAAGCGCGGCAGGTGGTGAAAGAGCCCCAAAATCATGCCATTCATTCTGTCTCCTTCCCTGGGTTTGTTTTCTCGTCTGCCTGGCGATCGAGTTGTTTTTCCCAGAAAGACGCGAAACGACGACAGAAAAGTGCACCTGGGTGCACACAGACACCTGCGATTGCTAATTAGGCACAAGAGTCTCCAGGAGTGCCAGCAGCCAATCAGGAGAGCTCAAGCACAACGCGTGCGCCTCTCACTGTCCTCCAATCATAGCATATCCCACATGATGGCAGATGCTTCTTGCCACGCGTGGACATTTAGAAATTTATACCGTCTACCAGCTTTTCATTTTCAGGATGCGATTGTTATTGGAAACTTTGGCGCTTTGACTGAACTGTGTCAGAGTGGCAGGAATGTATGGAGTTAGTTTTGTTTCACAATTATTCAATCAAAAAAAAAATCATGTCAAACAAAAAAAGTAGTACTCCATCAAAAAAAAAAAATCATGTCAAAC